TCAATAATTTATATAACAAAACGGCAATTTTTTTTTTATCTCGTTGATAGAATATTCTTTCCAGATGTTATTTTCAAAGTTTCTTCTTTTCTATCGATCTTTCTCGTTCGTAAACGCGTTCGTTGATCTTTTTCAAGAAAGATCTATCGATCGATAGTGTCGATTAATTCCTTCCTTCGCTTCGTCGCTAATTCCCCATCGTCCCTTCTTTTTTTTTTTTTTTTGGTATTGTCGATTAACGATCTATATTGTGTTTTGTGACGAATGCGTACAAGTATTTAAGTAATGTATTTATTATTGAGAGAAAAAAAGAAGAAAAGAGAAATAGAGAGAAAGAGAGAGAGAGAGAGAGAGAGAGAGAGAGAGAGAGAAAGAGAGATAAAAAGATATAATTTATATTTCTTAAAGACATAAAAAATTCTTAAATATATAAGAATATCGCGAAGAAACGCAAGTAGAAAGTGTGTGATGATGGTGATGGTGGTGATGGTGGTGATGGTGGTGGAGGAAAAAACGTTCAGGCATATTCACCGACTCCTACATGGGCTGCACTAAATAACTATTACTATTACTAATATTACTATTACTATTACTATTACTATTACTATTACTATTACTATTACTATTACTATTACTAATACTATTACTATTATTATTATTACTATTACTATTATTATTACTACGAATGCTGTCGCGTCCGAACGAAAATAAAACTAGCCTTTTAGAGATTGTATCTGATAAAAAGAAAGAGAGAGAGAGAGAGAGAGAAAGAGAGAGAGAGAAAGAAAAAAAAAAGAAAAGGAGGGAAAAGAAAAAAGGTGTCAGCTCGAAGAGTTCCAAATTTTCGAACGATTTCATGTCAATGTGTATGCCTGTATGTATGCGTATATGGATGTGTGTGAGTGTGTATTTGTGTGTGTGTGTGTGTGTGAGTGTGTATTTGTGTGTGTGTGTGTGTGAGTGAGTGAGTGTATGTGTGTGTATGTGTGTGCGTGCGCGTGCGTCTGTGCAATATATATATATATATATATATAAGTAATATATGTGTACGATAATATAACAGAGGATATATTTTGGACAGACACATACACATACACGTATATACATATACATGGACATACACATACACGTGGTACATGATCGATCGATAAAACAAAGATAAAATATAATAATAGTAATTAAAAAATAAATAAATAAATAAAATAAAATAAAATAAAATAAAATAAAATAAAAAAATAAAAGGAAATCGGTGACGCGAATCAAGAGCTATATTACCGACCCAAGATGCACAACATCGTAAAGAGCCGGAAAATTTGATAGAACACATGTCAGTCTAATTATATTTCTTGTTATATTATATATATACATATATATATATATATATATATATATATATATGTATATATATGTATGTATGTATATTATCATATTTTCCAAAAACGAATTATATATGATTCAATAAAAAAGAAAGACACTCTCGTTTGATACTTTGTGAGACCTTCTTAGATTCTATCTCCTTAATTCTCGAAATCAGTCGTACGAATTGATTTAAAGAAAATTTTATTTTCAAACATAGTAAATACGCACAATGTTTTATGTCATTACATAAATTCGATTTATTCATGAGAATTTATTTTAAGGTTTGATACTTCCCTATTGGCATTAATGTTAATTTTATTGATATATCGATAATATTATAGTTATGATTTTTTTATCATCTGTCGGTAAAAGATATTTTTCAAACACTTAGGTATACATTTTATTTCACATACTACATTATCGATTATATATGACATGTTATTGACTATCAAATGTAAAAATTAACATTTTCAAAAAATTTATATATATATATATATATATATATATATATATATATATATAAGAAGGTTAATTTTATAAAAACCTTTTTCTTTTCTTTTAGAAAAATGAAATAATTCTCTTTTTTTAATGGTTACAAGATTTTATTAAGTTTTTCGTTATTTACATAATATCGTTGTATGATACTACTTTTGACAAGGGTCCAGAGTAACATTATGGGATCATCGAGGTCTATCTTCTGAAGGGGGTGAAATAAAAAAAAAAAAAAAAAGAAAGAAAAAAAGCAGGAAAAACTAGAAAAAGAGAAAGAGAGAGAGAGAGAGAGAGAAATGGACGGAAGAATACTATACAGGTATTTTTATCCCCAATGTCGCTATGAACCAATGCCATTTTGGCTCGACGATGGACGACGCAATAGTAATTATAATAATAATAATAATAATATTAATATTAATATTAATAATAATAATGATAATAATAATACAAAAAAAAAAAAATGGAAAGAAAGAAACGAAAGAAATGTGATCGCAGTCCAATCGTCGGCCAAATATCATTTCGCAACAACAAGAGCTTTCGTGGACTCTCGAAAGATCCCCCAAGGCTTTCTTATTGCACAATCGAAGAAGGACAAGTATACGAATCCCGCTTGAAAAGAGGGAGAATCCATAACAAAAAAAAAAAAAAAAAAAAAAAAAAATGGCCGTTGCCACATGGCGACGAACGCGTAATTTTCTTTTCTTTTTTTTTCTCTTTCTTTTTTTTATACATTTTTTAGATCACTGTTTGTTATTTTTTTTTTTTTATTCTTTCTTCTTTTTCTTTTTTTTTTTTTTTTTTTCTTTTTTATTTCTTCTTCATTCGTTCTCCCATCGTACTTCGGAATTCTTACAATTAAAAAAAAAAAAAAAAAAAGAACAAGAAAAGAAATAAAAAAAAATAAAAATACGAATTCGTTCGTCGTCTCCTTTTTTCGTCGAGCCAAAATTTTTTACAATTAGGATTCGTACCCACCACCATCACCAATCACGTTGGACCCAGTTTTACGCGAGACGGCGATATTGGCAGTCGCTTTTTTTTTTTTTTCACTCGTTCGTCTTAATTTTAACTCGTATTTTAATTTTGCTTCTTTTTCTTCTTTTGTTTTTTTTTTTGTCGCTTTTTCTTTTTGTTTTTTTCTTTTTTTTTGTTTGTTTTTTCTCCTTTCGATTTAATTTCGTCGATCGTTAAAATTAAAATGCTCCCCCGTGAATGATACTTCTTATAACGTCGGGTTATTCTCTATATCTCTCACAAATTTTTTCAACGTATTATCTTAATTAATAATTATTAAGAAGCCAATAGGCTCGTTTTTTTAAATGATTTAACACGTTGACAATAGCACACCTCTCTCGAAATTCATTCGATTCGAATAGATTATAATAATAATAATAATAATAATAATAATAATAATAATAATAATAATAATAATAATAATAAGAGAGAGAGTTTTAATTAGTAACAACAACAGTCGGAGCAGCACCTGGTTGATTGAAATTATACTAATTATCATTAAGAGAAAATGTCTTTAAGCGTTACAAAGGATTTAAAATTCGATTATACATTAGAGTACAAAGGTATTCGTTTATTTAAATAATAAACGCTATCTCTCGGAATGATCGTAATGATTGGTCGTAAATGATAGAGAAGAAAATATTAAAAGTTATATTTATCGATCGATTATTAAAACGAACAATTTTCTTTCCCCTCTCGGAATAAAATTTCTCTCGGTGTTTACGACCATATCTCCGAACCTTTACTCTCGATGATAATCGATTTCAATCGATCGCGAAAATGCATGATGATGATTGAAAAAAAAAAAAAAAAGAAAAAAAGAAAAAAAATTAGGAAAAAAAAGAAGAGACGAGAGAAGTGAAGTGAAGAAAAGAAAATTAAATAAAGATTCACAATCGGATCGTTATCACTGGAGTATTTGATTCGATTCAGAGCTCGTCTGGATTGATTTAAAAAAAAAAAAAAAAAAAAAAAAAGAAAAAGAAAAAGAGATCTTACATACTACGAGTGAGAGAGTTTCGATTAAATTACATTGCTTTAGAAAGATGATCGTAAATATATATATATATATATATATATATATGTATATATATATACACACGTATATATATATATATGGACGGAAAATATATATATATATATATATATGTGGACGGAAGATTTATATTTGATGTGCAGTTTAGTGCGGCAGGTATGTTACGTAGGACAGGGTATACCGGACTAGTATACAGTAAAATTATATATTCATATGTATACATATATATCTATTTATATATACATATATATATATATATATATATATATATATATACAAATAAATATGTATATATATATATAAAATATTTATATCAAAACGGCACGAGTTTAACGAAAATGACACGTGTCGATTCGATCGAACGTTTTAATAATAAATCGCTTAACTATAATAACGATTTCCTAAAGGATTTCGATTACGTGCGCTGTAGACGAAGCGCGTTTGATCGTCGTCGATTCGATTATTTCGTCTTTACGAAAGATCGAGTTAACGTCGTAGGAAGCACGAAAGGATCTTTTATCAAATATCTTTCAAAAAGAGAGAAAGAGAGGGAACTTGATGAAATAGATGAGATGAAAGAATGTCAAATCGAGAAATACTTCTTTTTTTTTTTTGTTTGTTTTCAAATGCAAACAATATTTTCTTTTCTCCTTTTGTTTAAACGCTTAATAAAAATTGGGCAGTAATTAACGGCAGTTATTTATCTCGATTAATTATAAAACATATAATCTCTCTTTCCATATTCTTCTTCATCTTCCTTTCTTTATAATAACTCTCTTCTTCTCCGTCGCCCCCCCCCTTCCTGCCCCTCTTTTTCTCCAATATTATTTCGAAGATATTTCTTTGAAATAACTTAAAAAAATTTGTCTTCATTAAAAACAATAGATCCCATCGAGACACCGTGACTCATTATTATTATCATTATTATTACTATTATTACTATTATTACTATTATTACTATTATTGTTAATATTATTATTATTATTATTATTATTATTATTATAATTATTATAATAATTATTATTATTATTATAATTATTATTACTATTATTATTACTAATATTATTTTTATTACTAATATTTTCCTGTTGTTATT